GACTTAATGCTTTTTCTTTTATGAGATCAGTGCTTAAAGGAATTATTTTCTCGTTACAGTCCTCTATCCAGATAGTTAACAATCTTTCTAATTCAATCATGATAAATATTTTGATTTCGAGTGGTATGCACACATGATAAGTTTGAAGCAGCTTTTACTTTTCATTTTGTATTCATCAGCTTTACCTAAAATTTCTCTTACTGTTGACTCACCTAGTTTGTGCTCTAGGCCTATTTTTGATTTCAAGACACCATCTTCACTTTTTCTTATGATTTCTATTTTTTCTTCTAAAGAAATAACTTTTTGAGTTTTCCTTACAACTTCACTTTCATCTTTTGCTCATGTTTAGGAAAAGGTAGTACGTTAAAATGTCTAAAGTAAAAAAAAAAATGTCAAAAAATTATTTCAAAGATGCTCAAATGGCTTGAGTAGTTAGGCTAATAGCAGACAACTAATTACTAGTGTCCACCCTGAGGCAATAATTTTTTACCCCGGGCAACGGGTTCCCTGTGAAAAAAAAATAAACCCGTGGTAAAAAATATTTGAAATAAAAGATACTTGATTAAGATTTTTATTGATTTATAAATCGTATTTAAAAAAATATCGAACAAATAACAAGGCTGACAAAGTTTCATCACTTTTTTATTCAAACTTGTTGTAAAAGTAAACAGATCTGGAAAATCTTACAGTATAAAAAACACGTTACAAAATTTAAGTCTAATCGGATACTCATACGTCACTTTCAAAATACCTCTATAAGATGTCATTTTTATTAAGATTAAAGCATCATAATAAAAAAAAATTCTTTAGTGAGCTCAAATCTATGTGAATTAGAGCGATTAAAAAAAGCGATTAAACTCGTAGCCAACGATTTCTTCAGATCTTTCTTCTCTCAAAATGTTTCTCTTTCATTTTCCAAATTCCTTTCACTAGCCCTAGCAAAGGTTTTAACTTTTTTCACTGACTTATATTTCAAATCTATTGTGTGTTTCCTATAAACAACGACGATCATCATGATGAGGACGATGGTTTTTATGAATTATTGTTATGAAAAAGATATTTGTTCAGTAAAATAGTAAAGATTTGCCCCGGGGTATTTCAAGTATTTTACCCGGGGCAAGGGGTGAAAAAATTGCTAAAATACCCCGGGGTGGACACTCTAGTAATAACTTGACAAGTAAAATAGTTACCCATTTCCTATTTTTAATTTCTAAAAAAATTTTTAATTTCGGTGCCTAAAACTTACTTTTCAATTACTATGGTTAAAATGAAATGTGTGTTACCGCACTAATCGAGCATTATGCACGCACTAATCGAATATTGGTTATAAAAAATTTAAGCGCACTAAACGAAAACGCATTAATCGAGGGATCCCTGTATTAGGAATAACAAAACCTAAATTTATTTAAAAAATAACTGTTTCTACAATTTAAAATTTTGAAGCAGTAGTTTCCAAGTACAAGTTTTAGATAAAATTATGTGAATGTTTAATTTTGATTATGATTAATGATAATATTCAATTTTTTCACATAATTTCATTTGAAACTTGTAGTTAGAAACCACTGCTTCATTCTTAACTTTTAACTTGATGTAGGCCCTAAGAGCATTACAAACTTGTTAGTACATTGAATGGTTACAAAAAACTGTCTTAGAAGTATTACATATAATATCTAACATGCATTGAGATAAATTTAAGCATTTTTTAAATATAAATTTTGACTGTAAGTATATCTCTCTTTTATTTGTCTTAATTATATTATCTTACAGTAAATCTTATTTATGTCACTAAAGTTTCTGAAGACAAAAAAAACAAACAATTGCTCTACTTTATTCGAAAGAAAGAACCTAAGTTAATTTAACTTTTCAGGAAGGAAAACTCCTCTAAAACTGTAAATAAACTTACCAACACAGAAGTACCAGGTTCTCGAATGCGAACAGGTTTTCTCTGTCTTACTGTGCTCAACAAATCATATACTTCTTCATTATAAATTTCCAAAAAGGAAATTGCAACCTGGCATTTTGAATCTTTCACATCCTTTACCTTCTTAAATACGTCTGTGAGAGCTCGTGATACAATCCCTTGAGTTTCTAGCTCATTGAGTACATTATTATGATAATAATCAGTACCCATTGTGTAGGTTTTTCCAGATCCAGTTTGTCCATATGCTAATATGGTGGCATTGTAACCTATGTGATAAGAAAGCCTCCTATGAACTTCCCACAATCTTTAGTTTGTAAATTTTTTAAAATTTTCAAAAAGTGTGAATAAGTTTTCTTCTAAATTGTAGACATTTAAATTATGTTTAAATTTATCTTTGGTTCATTATGCTTGCACATTAACTTTATATTATTATTAAGATTAAATCTAAAAAAACACCATCCAATTGTGATAATTTTATATGGGGGAGGGGCAAAAGTTGGTACTAAAGAAAATATTACAAAGACAAATTAAATCAATTTAAGTTAATATTTTCTTAAATCAAAAATGTATTAGGTCATCAAGAAACTAATGTTGCTTTTTTAGATGAAAAAACTTGAACAACTTATATATCAAAACAACCATTGTTGTGGAGAAGAACATCTTTCTGATTGACGAGTGAAGGATGTTTCTGACGAAGGGCATGATTTAAATGTTCCAGTTGCTGACTATAGATCTCTGCATTGACAGTTCCCTGTGGATTGATGAGTTTGAAATGAATTACTCCTTTATTGTCCCACCAAATGCAGAGCATTACTTTCTGCAGATGGAGACCAAGTTTTGGGGTCAGAAGTGGTTTTTATCTAGGACTGAGCCATTGACTTTGGCATTTAATATTCATATAGAAAATCCATTTTTCTTCACCAGTGACAATGCTATCCAAAAATGGTTCATGCACATTAAGCGCCAGAAGACACGAGGTAATGTTCACACATTGGAAACAATGATCATCAGAGAGTTGATGAGGTACCCCAACATCTTCTTTATGGAGTTTTCCCATAATCCTTAGATGTTTACGTATTGTTTCATGAAACACATGCAATTTCAGGGCCATTTCATGAGTGTGTTGCCTTGGATTAATCTCAACCAGCATCTTCAGAGCATCAATATCAATTCCAACAATGTGGGCCTCTGCCATCACGATTTTTAAGACTAAAGTCACCTGAACAAAATTTGCTGATATCTTTAATATTCTTTGTGGCTACAGAGGCATTGTTTCCCTTGTTGTATTCAAACAGCATTACATTCTGAATGTGTGTCTCGTCATGTGCCATCACTATAAGGGATTAAAGTATAATAAACTTTACACATCATATAGGCTACACTAACGTGATGTTTAGGCAATTCGTTTAACTATTATACATGATCTACGTTTTTTGGAGGGTGGTTAATGAAAGTGTTCTAAAACATGACATTAATTTCTTGACAACCTAATATTTCTAATTATACTTAACATCTTCGCACACTACGGCTATTACTCAACTGCTAGAGTTTCTTTTCCTTTGCCCATCGAAGTATTGGTGTTTTTTTTTTTCCAGTCTTTTATTCCCCTTGGTGATATCTGTCTCATGACAATGTCCACCTATGTCAATACACCCTCTATCTTGATACTGTATATGAGCACCTCTTTGGGATAATATTGTCACTTTTTCAAATCTGACCCATTCTCTAAAACCAGCTCTTAGTGGGGAGGAAGGGTGGGAGGAGGTACGTATTATTGGAAATTCAATTTTGATTTAAGAAAATGTTAACTTCCAAAACATACTTACCTCCTCTCACACTACAGCTAGAATCCCACAATGATAAGGTGAAGGAGCTGATAAGGGCATCGTCCATACAAAATGCATCTGCACAGATCATGGTCGTGCCAATAGAAGATTATTACCCTAGTGGGGGAAACCGCACTACATCCAAAACAAGTATGCTTTTAACTTGGAACCTAAATCATGCACTACGAGTAGAATTTGACGTGATCCATCATCACCACTGGCCAGGCCCCAACCAGATAGCCTAGATCCCACTGCTTGGGGTTGGAATTATAGTGCCATGGCCCCTAAATCTCACATTGGTACCTAGGGCATTTGGACCTCAATAGATACATTTGTGAATAGATCCCAAACTGTAGCTATAGAGTGATGAATTCCAAGCCATTGCAATCCTCATGAGAAGGTAAGCAACATTGAAATGGAAGCCTCTTCTCAATCTGAAGTTAAAAAAAGGCAACACCCCAAACTCTGAATGATGGGATACTGTATGCCGTACTCAACCTGAGGAAACAGAACTCATCCAGTCTGAAATTATGAACATTTATCCTCACTACTCAACCATGTGGGCAAAGTAATTTCCACTTTCCCCCAGAATTATGGGGAGGACATGGAACAAACAGTGCTCAACCAAGGACCCAGGATGCGACCATTTTGAATTTAGAATTACAAAGAGACAATGGACCCTCTTCCATGAACAATGTACTGAAGCAATATTGATCAAAAAGAAGGGTCACTCTCAACACAACCGGATAGTTAAGTGTCAAATCTGAACCAGTATTATGAATAGTCTCCTGTGAAGGCTGGTGCCACTCCTACCGACGTCTGGGAAAAAAACAGCCAGGGTTCTAGAAAGGATGGCCCCAACTTTGCCTTCTTTTCCAAGAATGGAGGAAAGTCACTCAAACACTCTGGAAGAATAACCTTTGTCCACCACTCCAATATATGAAAATAGGGAGTGGTAAGAACTCCCTATTTCCACTAGTCGAATACAGGGAGATAATGCACGTTGAGGAGTCCCGAGGAAGAATGCTCTAGAAACAGTGCAATAGGTGAACCAAGTTCTCTAAATTTTTAAAACCAAACTGACCCCGATTTATGGAAATGACTGATTGGCAGTATCCCCTTATGCTTTACTCATGAGAGTTTATGAGTGGCAGCCCAGCATAGTAAAGTAATACTACCCGGTCTGCCTCTAGGTGGTCTTATGGAACACCCAATTTCTACAGATTAATAATGAAAATGCTCACACCTCTTTATAATCTAGCAGATATATACAAGGTAGTCAGAGGAAGATACTGCCAAATTCTGCAAATAATGTGAGATAAAAGTATTGGGGGAGGACCACATACCATCCCACACAAGGTCCTCCAGCGGGCAATTCAACTGGGCTGTTAAGAATGTAGAAATTATGATGAATCTGATAAGATCTGATTCACAGAAGTCTCCTCATCTCCAGAATAAGCAATATGAATCAATTGTTATACCCACCCCATCAAGGTAATTGGTGATAAATTCCGGAAAACAGAATGGTCACGATGAATAAAAATCCATTGTCTAGCTCCTCTAAAATCTTTAGTGTGGGCAACATAACACTTCAAGGCCCTCACTGGTCATAACAAATGATTGAGATCCATCACAGAGGAGATAAATTGCAGTCAGATGAATCAGCAAAAAGTACTTATCCTCTTCCCTGGCAGCCAGTATTTTAGGCAAGTTTGGGCAAAGAATGACGTAGGTCGTAAGTAGAATGATAAAGCATCCCGTACCCGTGCAGTGCAAACAACTCCGACCGGCGACAAAAAACAAATCTTAAGGGAAATGTGATACATTGTATATGAGGGTAAGGCCTCAAACAGATTTTGAGAAAGAGTGTGTAACACCCCCTTTATATACCAGTTAAGTAACTGAAATGGTCCTTTTGGATGAGGGACACAAAATGACTTGAGGAAGCTGGAGAACACTGGAGACTTAATGAATTTCTGTCTCTTCGAGTATCTAAAGGTAGCCGATAAAGCTGCCTTATATAGAGTGATTGTTAAAAATGTGAAACCTTTGTCAAAAAAGCCAAGCCACAAACCAAGCTATGGCTGGCTTGTTTGGATGAAGTGGGTTCAACCTCCTTACAATACACTATTGTTGATATATGTGCCATTTCCATTGATAAATGTCCATTGTGGGATGATGCAAAGACTGAGACAAGACAAGCACATGGCCACCTTAGAAGTTAAACACTGATGACATGTGAAGGACTACATAACCTCCAAACATGAAGCTTGAGCTTCAGGATGGATGGGTGCAAAGTGTCAGATCATGGCTGTCTTAACAGGGATGGCCAAAGAGGAAATGGGCACTCTCAAAGGTACTGCAGAAGTGGAAACTAGGGTTGAGCTGGCTAATCTGGTGCTACCAACAGAATGCAACCAGGGGTTGAATGAATCATTGGTAGGACTCTGGGTAATAGATGAATAGATGGGTAGGCATATAGGTGCAATCCAGTCCAGTCCTGACTGAATGCACCTATTGCCAATGCCCAAGGGTGAGGTACCAGAGATCAAAATGTCAGTTGTTGAGTGTTTCACTGAGTGGCAAATGCATCGATCATCGTTGTCCTGAATCGAGAGCAAGTCGAACAGAAAATGCCTCGATGAAGTATCTTCTGTCACGAGAACCCAGTTCCACTAAATTCATCACCCCCAGAACATATCAAGCTAATTAGATGATATAATGTGAGTGGACCCAATATAGAAGACCCAAGGTTTGAAATCAAAGAGACCTGGACCAAATGACCTCTTGACAGGAAATGTAAAACACCATAGAATTATTGGAGTGTGGTAATTGGCTTATGAATCTAGCAAATGACTGCATAAAATCCTAGAAAATATAAATGTACTTGTAATGATCGTAAGTCAAACCCACAATAAAAACACCAATTACAAATTGATGCAGTGCACCAGGATTTTGGGTTAACCAATAACAGATTGTCAAGAATAAGGAAAAGAAGCTGAAATAAGTTAAGTTAGTATAAGTAGTAAAAAAATGTAAATGTGGCTACAGCTATTGGAGAAATGAATTCTCTCGCTATGGGCTCAGTCGATTCATTATAAATAATGACCCCAAAGGGACCATCAGAGTTTCCAAACTATAACTTATAATATGTTTTGGGTATGTTCATGAAATTTTGCAAGCTTTCAGTAAACACTGCAAAAAAAAAACAACAGAATTTTAAAGGAAATATTTTTACAAAAAATTCCACCGTGAATTTATGCAAAGTGATTTAAAATACTTTTCTTCATCTGAAAATTGTCAAATTTCCCTTGTATAATCTCTAAGTCCTCCTAACTAAATTTCAAAGTTAGTTTTTCAGTAAAACTTTATATTTTAGCTGTTATTTTCTCTACCCTAACTCCATACAGGATCAGTCTATTTGACCAAACTCATAACCA